TATGGTTGCGGTGGTCTGCAGCGTATTCCATGGCAAAACAGTGGAACGTTCCGGTCGTGCTCGTGGCTGCATCAGTGCTGCCATGCTTCCCTCCAAACAGGTCCGGAGGATCCACGTCGCAATGCTGAGCCCAGGCAGGCAGCCAGGCATGTTCGAAACATGCATCCTGCAGCCGATGCTCAACCTGGTGGCGCACTCGGACAGCGTCCTCTTGGAGTTCGCTCCAGACTCCTACGAGGTCACTGAGCATCGTGGATGGCTGCGTGTGCAACTGGCGGCAGAGGCTGCCAAGGAGTGGATGAAGATCCGGTCGGGCACCACTCCCGTGCTCCAAGGAGTGGAGGTGCAGCAGCCGCAGTTCACTGCAGAGAGCTTCTCCGGCAGGAAGGGCCGAGCGAACATCATTCGGGCTCTGCAAGTGTGGCGCGAGTCGCTTGGCTGCAAAAAAGGTTTGGCTCACGCAGTCCACCGGCTCACGCAGTCTGGGGTGCTTCCTTAGTGTCATGAAGCACCCATTCCCGCTAGGATGCACGAGAAGACTTTCGGGCGGCCGCTCCTGGACCAGGATGGCAACCTCAAGATCAAGGAGAGGCCACACTTCGCCACATTGCTGGATCGAGCTCCTGAGCACTTCCACTCCTTCTATGCCAAGGCCAAGGGGAAAAACAGCGGCGGCTCCTTCGGAGGCTGGTTCCTGGAGCAGCTGCGGTTCCGGATGCCGGGTCGAAAGGCCGATCGCGGTGCACTTCTGACATGGTTCTCTGAGATCCATCATGCTGCGGCGAAGCCGCTCCCGGCCACGGCAGCTGCGGCGAAGCCGCTCCCGGCCACTGCAGGCTAATTAGATCGGGACATGTCAGGTATCGTCAGAGTGCATTCTCGTGACAGCCGAATGCAGCTCTGCAAGGGTGGCAACCAAGAGCTCAACTGCTTGGTGCAAAAAAAAGGGCCGGCTCTCTCCCATCTCTTGTTTCAAGCCTAAAGCTGAGCCCCAGTGTGGGGAATTCTCTCTTCAAGCAGGCAGTAAGGTAGGTTTACCCAACGTAGCAGCCTCGAAAAAGAACCTGGGGGGGGGGAACCCCTTACAAGAGATAGGGCGAACCCGCACCCAGAAAAGAACTTGGACAGCTGCCTGACCCCTTGGGAAAGGAACCGAGGGGGGGGCCCCTCCTCCCCCCCTTAACAGCCCATGAT